ACAAAAAATTCGGTATTTCCTCTAGTTTCGGAGTTATTCCTGAAAAAAACAGTGAATGACGAAATTAATGATTTCCAAAATGAAAATTAGTTCGAGATAAATAAGAAAAGGGACACGGAGTTGCTGAAACTCCGTAAACTCCTGGAGGATGTTCACCTCGAGAGTGAGGAAACGGCTCATCACCTCCGCAAGAAGCACCAGGAGGTTGTTATCGATTTCCAAGATCAGATCGATCAACTCTCGAAAGCTCGTGCCAGGTCAGTCTCACATCCAAATAAACCGGTCATCAAGACCCTGCGATGCATTCCAGATTCCAACCAACAGCCAATGAATCATCGAGATATTCCCGCTATCATAGCAAATTGTAACAAAATTAAAACAAGAAAAACAAATTCCACGCTTTTATCGCTCGCTATTTTCAATTTTTCACTCTTTTTTCTTCACTTTGAGGAGATTATGCCTGCGGAACTGGCTAGTATCCAAGCATATATACATTGGAGTGTACCTGAAATACATAAACGAGCCGCTCACCACTGCTTTTCTAAACATAGGCCCACCCCGTGATTTTCGTTTAAATGAGTCCGACTCGCTTCTAGTCTTTGGTAAAATACCAAGGGCGCAATTTTCAGCAAAAAAATTCATCTAAATATTCACACCTCATCTTTCTCAATCTAATTCACTCAGAAAATTAAATTTTCTAGGATTTCATTTTAGAAAGTATTTTTCAGAATCAAAAAGAAGAAGAAATTCATTTTCGTTTTACCAAAATGCAAATTATGAATTGCATTTCCAAGAGCGGTATTTAATATTTTTAAATAATTCAATCCAAATCTTCCCATAAAAAATTTCAATTTAATTCACCCAAAAAAAATGATTTTCGCCAGACACATTTTTTATGAAGAATTTCTTCGTGATTTATTTTTAGAAAATTCCTTGGAAATTTTATTTTCGTTTTATCCGGATGCAAATTATCAATTGCACGAAAAAAAATTGTTAAATTTCTTTTTTCCTGTGCGCATCCCACCCTGGCCCCTTTTTCCCTATTCAACAACGTGAAACTCACGTAGAAATGAACTCAACTTTGCTTATGACTATTTTTAACTCGTATTGGAGAGTCGGCACACGAGGTTGGCGCGCCATATTAGTCCACGGTACCGGCCCCTTGTGTCCCCCCACTATAGAAACAAAATTGGATGACACCTTACACTAGTCGCGGTATGCGTGGGTGTGCGATGATTTTCCCCGAATTCCGGAAAACTGTATAAATAATGATAAATATATAAAACTTGGGCAGAGTTGACAAGGAGAAAGCCAAGTTCCAGCAGGAGGTGTACGAACTGTTGGCGCAGCTGGAGAACTCCAACAAGGAGAAGACACTTGTCATAAAAACTGTTGAAAAATTGGAGATCCACGTGTCGGAATTGAACATCAAGATTGAGGAGCTGAATCGAACGATTGTCGATATAACCAGCCACAAGACACGTCTGTCCCAGGAGAACATTGAACTTGTTCGTGAAGTTCAAGATTTGAAGGTAAAAATTGTGAACCCAGAAGACAATCTGGAAATTACGCAAAAGGAAATGCTAAAACAGTAATTCTTATTCAGGTTAACATCGAGAGTATTCAGTACACGAAGACCCAGCTTGCCAGCCAGCTAGAAGATGCTCGTCGTCGTCTGGAGGATGAGGATCGACGTCGATCACTCATCGAGGCATCTCTCCACAGCGTTGAAACAGAGCTCGAATCAGTCCGTGTGCAATTGGAAGAGGAATCCGAGGCTCGTTTGGATCTCGAGCGTCAATTGGTCAAGGCCAATGGCGAAGTCTCCATTTGGAGATCCAAGTATGAGACTGAGGCGAACGCCAGAGCCGAGGAAGTCGAGGAGCTCAGGCGCAAGTACTCAGCACGAATTCAAGAACAAGAGGAACAAATCGAGACACTTCTCGTTAAAATCAACAACTTGGAGAAGCAGAAGTCGCGTCTGCAATCCGAAGTCGAAGTTCTCATCATCGATCTCGAGAAGGTGAGATTTCTTGGGGATTTGATAATCCCCTAGGATACACCAGTCTCATCGATTTTTTTTTTATTCAATTTTAGGCGAATGGAACCGCCCGGGAGCTCCAGAAACGCGTTGAACACCTGGAGAAGGTCAACATCGAGCTGAAATCTCGTCTGGAAGAGACAGTCACCCTCTACGAGCAGAGCCAGCGTGATCTTCGTAATAAACAGCAGGAGCTGATGCGCTGCAATGCCGAACTCGAGAAGACACGGGACCTGAAGGAACAACTCGCACGTGAGAACAAGAAACTTGGAGGTAAATTTCATAATCAAATCCCTGATTAATCAAATCTCAATCCATTTTCAATATTCACTCTGAAATTATCCGTATCTGCTGGCAGATGATTTGGCTGACGCCAAGAATCAACTGTCGGACATGAACCGTAGACTTCATGAGTTGGAACTCGAACTCCGTCGTCTGGAGAACGAACGTGAAGAGTTGGCAGCTGCTTACAAAGAAGCTGAGGCCGTACGAATCTCATTTATTCTGTAATCACTCAAGGCAGTTTAGTCAGGTAATTAATCTTGATGAATCGCATGTTCCAGGGTCGCAAGGTCGAGGAACAGCGAGCTCAGAGGCTTTCAGCAGAGCTGAGCAATTTCCGTCATGAGGCTGAACGTCGACTTGCCGAAAAGGACGAAGAGATCGAGGCCATTCGGTAAGTTTATTTTTTCAACTATTTTTCTGATCCACCAAGAGAATTCCATTTTATTCAATCACGAATAGTTCAAAGAAATCCACTTGATTATTTTATCAATTAAATCGTGGATCAACGGGGGAATAATTGATGAAGTAAAGATAATTGAAGAAAAGTTTCTGCATCGTGTCATAAAAATTCGAAGAAAAAACTTGACGTATCAAGCCAAGGGAAAATGGAACTCGTACAGTCAGACGTGACGTATCGATCACTCCTCAGCACTCATCATTGGAAATCGATCGTCTGTCAGCATCGGCAATCTTCGAGAGTGATCGAGTGCATAATTTAGTACACTGAGACACTAAGAATACTGATACAATGGGTATCGATCCACATATTACAAGTGCTGATTGGTCGCTCTCATTTGACAAATCGTTTCAACACCAATAAAAAAAACGTACAAATGATTCAGACGTTCAGTCGATACTCCGATCCCTCTCACCAGTGCTCGATTGATCAGTGATTATATTTTTCATCATTCGACATAATCAACGATTATTTTAATTAATTGGAAATGTCTGGAGATGTGCCACCCTCTCAAATGCCTCTGGAATCCAAATGGAAACACGTACCGACGACTGTTTATGAACAGAATTATGGATTTGGGATAAATTATTATCAACCAATGATCGATTATATCGATCAGAAGGAGAAAAAAATTGTGAGAAATCCTCAGCCACCGGAGTTACCCTGGTCTGATGGACGATTTCTATGGGAGAAGAAGAGAATTTTACCCTATAGTACTGAGGAACTCCGACAATACGCGTTCGGAGCTGAAGAACAAGCGAGAGAACATTTATCGCACTTTAAGGTACGTTTGGAATTATTGAAATTTCAATTCGAGGAATAATTCATTGGTTTCAACGGAATTCAAGTCGAAGGATCGAAGGATCATGTTAATTAAATAATTTAGAGAAAATTATTTTGGGGGAAACTGTAAATAATTGAGGGGATGTCATCCGGTGAATTGGTGAACTCTGGGGTCTGCCTTTTTCCGTGATTTTTGTTATTTTCAGAGAGTTTGCGATTTTAAAGTTAGAATTCGGTAACAGAAAAATGAACGATTGGCGCGGGTAACTTGGCGACTAGCTGACCTTTTCTGCATCTAATTCGGTAGCTCAGTGGAACTTGGAACCAGACGCATTCGAATGCCCGTTTTCTGTCTGAGTATAGAAGTTTCGAGTCTCGTGTGCGGATCATTAAATTTTCTCCCGTATCCCTGAAATTTCCGTAATTAAAACAATTCTCCCTCCATTTACATTCCAAATGAAAAAAATGCAGAAGATTACGAACGAAATCATTGCGTGGATGAATTGATTCGAGTCTGTGGCAATAGTGTAAATAAAAATTATAAACATTGGCAAGTGAATTGTTCCATCATCAGAATAAAATCCACTGGTATATATTGTCATTTTAAAGATAGCAAAACGCTCGGACTTTAGTCTGAAGAAGGCAGTGGAGGCGACTCACGTATCGAAAGACATTGAGGCATCGAAATCGGGTGTTGAAGCGGCTGTTAAAATTCGACAGCAGACAATACCAGTGGACGCGACGATGGCTGATCTCAGTGTTCAGGCTGTTAGGAATATCCAGAGGATAAAGCACGTGCAGGAGGCACTGGATCATGCGAAAAGCCTCAGGGGTAAATCGGCTAAAGCGATTGAGTATGAACTGAAAACCGAGAGTATGAAGAATCTTTCTGGTGCGAGTGAAATATCGGATATCAGGAAATACCAGAGGCAGACGATGCAGGCACTCTGGGACGAGAGGGATCATGTGAGGATGATGGAGGATAGATCGAGATTACTCCAGGAAGAGGATTCAAGACTCACTCAACCTCTTGATGAACTTCAGAATGATCTAAAAGCACTTGAAATCAGATCAAGCACTTATTTCATTGATAAGAGGTAGTTTTGTTATTAATTATTGGATTGTCCTGGGTCATTTGAACTATCGTGATGGTTAAATACTTTACATTATATTTTCATGATTTATTGATGTTTTTAACGTGACAGCAAGCAAACGAGCATTGAGATTGAACAGCTGAATGCTCGAGTCGTTGAAGCCGAAACGAAACTCAAGACCGAGGTCCAGCGAATCAAGAAGAAGCTCCAGATTCAAATCACCGAGCTTGAGCTTTCCCTCGATGTTGCCAACAAGAACAATCTCGATCTGCAGAAGACCATCAAGAAGCAGTCGCTCACTTTGACCGTAAAGCTATTTCATAACGATTTCACAATAGATTATCGAATTATCGTGATTCATTTAATTAATCATCTCGGTTATTTGGATTATTTATCAGGAACTTCAAGCTCATTACGACGAAGTTCAGCGTCAATTGCAGGTAACACTCGATCAACTGGGCATCAGCCAACGCCGTCTTCAATCATTGACTGCCGAAATCGAAGAAATCCGTGGCAATTACGAATCTGTGAGTTGATGATTCTTGTAAAGGATCTTGGGAATCAGCTGTTGGTTAATTATTCTTTGTACAGGCACTTCGGGCGAAGAGATGTGTCGAGCAGCAGTACGAAGAATCGGTGAGCCGTATCAACGAATTGACAACAATAAATGTCAATCTTGCATCATCAAAGTCAAAGGTTGAGCAGGAGCTTGCTGCGGTTGCTGGTGACTACGAGGAAGTTACCAAAGAATTGAGAGTCAGTGATGAGAGATATCAGCGTGTACAGACTGAGCTCAAGCACACTGTTGAGATTCTACACGAGGAGCAAGAGCGCATCGTCAAGATCGAGTCCATCAAGAAGTCACTCGAGATTGAAGTGAAGAATTTGTCTGTACGTCTTGAGGAAGTTGAAGCTAATGCCATTGTTGGAGGGAAACGTATCATCAGTAAACTTGAAGCAAGGGTGAGCAATTATTTAAGCTCTTCGATTTGTTGTGAGGAATTGATTGTTGCAACTCTGTGAAATAATGTTTATGAAATAAATTCAACAGATTCGTGATCTGGAGCTTGAGCTTGATGAGGAGAAACGCAGACACGCCGAAACTGTGAAGATCCTTCGCAAGAAGGAGCGCAATATCAAGGAAGTTATGATTCAAGTTGAGGAGGACTCGAAATCAATTTCTCTACTTCAGGAGAGTCTTGATAAAGCATGCCAGAAGGTCAATCTGTATAAGAGACAGATGCAGGAGCAGGAGGGTATGTCTCAGCAGAGTGTAACGAGAGTACGCAGATTCCAGAGGGAGCTTGAAGCAGCTGAGGATCGTGCTGACACTGCTGAGAGCAATTTGTCCCTGATCCGGGCTAAACACCGCAGCTTTGTCACAACATCAACTGTGCCAGGATCCCAGGTATACCTTGTCCAGGAGACGAGGACTCAAGAAACACTTTAAAAACATTTATCACAAAAATGCTCCTTGTTAAATGCCTCATCGTCATTTTATCATCATTTTTTTTTCTCTCTTGATTTCTTGATAAAATCTTGTGTCAACTTCTCTCGTTTATTCTATTATTTATTTTTTATTCGAGAGTTGTGAGAGTATCAGTAAGAAAAGAGGCGCGATCTTGTCCATCATTGATTAAATATGAAACAATATAAATTATTACACAGAATAAAACAAAATATATATTGCGAGGCAATGAAATAATGAATAATCATTTTGGCCCATCACTCGTTTCTTTTATTTTTTGTTCATTTTTTCATCAGTCAAAATGTTTGAAATAAAAATTCTTTTGATACCGAGAGGGCAGTTGCGCGCGTCAAACGATATCCCAGCGAATTTGTAAAAAACAAAATGAAACAAAAAAAACTATTCTATTTTTATAAAAAATGAGAATGTTACAGCGAGATTTACAAAGACCGGATAATCCCAATTTGCAAAGACGCATAATTGTAATAATAATTATAATAATTATAATTATAATAATATATTCAGTCCCAGGAGTGGAGACAGCACTTGACGTCTCACTCGAAAATCGCCAAACGCCACTATAAAAATCATTTTATTCAAATGAAATTTCAATGAATATTATTATCACATTAATTTGTCAACTTCAGACGTAAGAACGCATGTCTATAACACGCACAATATTACTGTATTTAATTGATAATTCTGTTACTACAAAACATAGTTAGGTATTATTGCCCAAATGAAATATTCAATTGAGTACATAAGAACACTCACTGTACGAAACACTTAACCTGTGTCATTTAATTTAATAATAAACTGAAAACGCGTACGTACGAAAAAATATAAATAAGTAATCCATTATTTATCCTTCAAAGAGAATTCATCATTTTTCCCCGGGATTGTTCCAAAGGGGATGAAATAATGTCAATTTTTAAAGTAAATTGTTTCTTTATTGGAGCATATGGCGGTTATTATCAGGGTCCGCATGGGCGCACATTCGAATAACTAATGAGCTCATCTTATCAATTAATTTTTCCCCTTATTTTTTTGCTTTTTCTTACGATTTATGGGTTAAATTTCGCCGTAAAAATACGACGAATGAAGCATCCACAAGCAATTTTATACAATTTAACGAGCTCGAAGAAATCAACCGCTAGTTACTTCTCTAGTTAATGCTCTTCTACGACTTTGGAAGAATCTCAATCATCAGCCTAAAGTCGTTTACAGGATCAATTGTCATTGGGAATTACTATCACTCGCAGGTATGTATGCACTCGAAAAATTATTGCCAATTTTCTATTTATTCTTTAATTTCGTAATGCCAAGGATTAATCCTGTGATTAAATTCATTTTTGCAGAGAAAAATACAGACCGTCTCTTATTTTTTATCATTGTAGATAAAAAAAATTACTGAAATCGTTCTTTAGCTGACGATTACGTACTCTCGTCACGTACTTTTTTCTGTATTTTTCTCTCCGCGTTAATTGATGGACACATGAAGTGTAATTTAATGACAGAATCGTAACATGATTGCAAAGTGACTATTGATTAATAAATTTACAAAGAGGATTTGTAAATTACGGTAACTGCATAATTATTATTGTTCACCCAAATACCCGACCCTGACTAATACTCACTTCAATTGCGCAACAGGGTCGATTTATTCTCACAACTAATTTATTTCCATTTAATTTTAATATCTCATCAAAAATTGTACCATTTTTTTTATTCCAATATTTCCATATTCTTTTATCTTTTTCATTCTTCAGTGCAACATGGTTAAAATATGATATATGCGCAATCTAAGGCTCACTATGGCTTTGTGGGTGATTTAATAAAAATGCTCTCAAGTTTGTATCATTCATTATTCATTTGCCGAACCATTTCTGCCCAGCGGCGATTCTTCACGTGAGAAAGGAGATAAAATTTAAAAGAAAGAGCGATGTATTACTCATAGTTTTCATGATTCTTTGTTGTCTTGCTTCGAGAACTTTACAATGAAATAATAAGAAACAAAAAAAAAACACACCCCTCACACATTTACTCCATCCTCTCCCCATTTTGTCCCGTATATTCTCCTTATGAAAATTACAAGTGCTCATTTATTTGAATTTGCCATAAATTCGAGAGTATCATTTACACAATTATTTACAGGGTATCATACACGAGGAAAGATCCAGCTAATATATTAGTAGTTTTTAAATAATATTGACTGGGAAATTATTTCAAGTCGGTAGTAGATTACACTGGTAATGGATTTTTTGTAGTATCACTGGAATTCTTTAAAAATTTCATTACCACGATGACAATTTTATAACAATTGTTGAGCCTCGAGGGGATTTACCTCGATCTCGAATTATCAGAGGAAGATGAATCTAAAATAACTACGGAAGAGTTGCCACCACTGCAGTGTTATAATTTTCAACCGATGAGACGATTCAAATATTCAAAAAATATTACTCTACAGTATTAAAAATAGTGAACATAAAAAAGCCAAATTAACGATAAACTAGAAATTTATCTCACCAAAATTGAATCGTCGCAACGGTAGAGTGAATTTATAATATACAACACATAAAAATATAATCTATATAAAAAATAATAAAAATAAAACAAATAATTATTACTCTGACGCACACTACAAAAACCATTTGTAAAAGCATTGTCTTTAATAATAATAAAACTATCAACGGACTGATTGATATTTTTTCCGTATCCACAGCTACTAAATCCGAATGCAAAGCGACTCAGTAAAAATAACTAGACGTATAATAATCGCCATGTCGGCAATGAATTCATTAATTCTATGCCATTATCATCATTAATATTGTAATTACTCTTAATCAACTATAAATCGCTGACAGGGCAACGGTATACATTTTGTACAGTCGAGTCATTTTAACGGAGCAAGGTATTATTTTTCCTTAATTTTCATTTTTCATTTAATTCACAAGTTACGAAATTACAATTGATTATTGGCAGTTTGGCTGTTTCGTCGGATATCGATTTAGACTGTTCGATTATTCGAGGCCCAGCTGTCTATCGATCATTGCTACCTATTACTTAATCCATTAATATTAAAATTTCTGGAGATTACTGGAGCTGGAAGCTCAGGGGTACACTACTCATATACATGATTAACTTTTTCTTGTTTAGTTTCAATGAACAGAAATGTGTAGAGGATATATTGAGGCTGATATATTTTCCATTAAAAGTCTTTTATCACTTTTATTCACTGTCTGAATTAATTTATTTATTGGCACAAATGTTGTACTAGTGGTATAAACTGTAGGAGGTTCTTGTGTCACTGGTTATAACACCAGAATTATTCCAGTGAAACTTCATTATTTTTTATTACGAAATTTAAAATTAACCTACGTGTAATGGGAATGTATGGGGTGGAGTGAACAAACGTTTATTGCTTTATCGATTATAGGTTTTATATCGCACGATGTGGGGGTGAAAAAATTTGTCGATCTTTAATGAGTTATTCATTTTTCTAATAAGAATGATAAATTTTTGGATTCTTTTTATTGTGATAATAATTATCACTAAACACTGTCTCGTTTGTTATCTCAACGAAGAGTTTGACAGTTGTCAGTCAATTGTCAGACAATTCGGTAATTAAAGAAAGAGAAAAGTTTATCTACTATGAATATTATTTTCAGTCTTTGAGTGAATTGCAATCCACGAATTACATTCTTCCTATGGATCGTAAAGAGATATATTTGCAATTATTCTGTTGTTCAGCATCAATTAATGTCGAAGTCAGCTGGGCCTTTTCAGCACTGAGTATACAATTAATAACGAAAATCATTCGCTTTGTTCAAACGAAAATATAAAAATACCATCATCCTTTAACGACTCTCTCCACTGATTTTATTTTAATCTGTTCTTTTTTTTTCTCATATTTTTTGCATGTCAGTTGGTTTGAAAATTATCGAAAAAATGTTTCTTCAATCTTCCAGTTATGATCAGTCTCGTTTTGTTGACGGTTCAATAGCTGCTATCATTTACTATTACCATTTACAATCGCACTATTCATCCACATTTTTACACCGAGAAAGCTAATTGATTACTTTATCACGCGCTTATAAATAAAAAATCCGAAAATAGTATTCTATTAATTTTTTTCTTCAATCAAGCTTTCACGCCCAATTTTCATTCCTCGCATTTCAAGAAATCATTAATCATATTCATGTCAATTATCCCGAGAATATGATTATTCATTTTTTTCAATTCACTTCAGTTAAAAAAATTCACATTTACTTGATTACAACGTGACATTTTCTCAGTAAAAACTGATATTTGAGCAAAAACATTTGAATTCACGTACTCTAAGTGAAAAAAAAACTATCATCAGTAATTCACTGTACTTCAGTATGACTAGGGAATTGAACAGTAAAAGATTCAAAGTATTACGTATGAAAATAATTTAGAAGAAAATATTCAATTCCATAAATAGAAAATATTGATAAAATTTATTGTACAGTGTTGGGTTGATTAAACGTAAGAAAAAATTCTCAATTGATTAAAACCAACTCACCAATTCAGCATTCAGCCCAATCAATCAGACACATTCACACAATTTCATGTTTTCTCGCCTTCATTACCGAAGCAATAATCTCAACTTCGAGGTCGTTCAATCGATGATACCGGAAGATTAAGGAAAAATTGTCATTGGACAATCATGCATTCTCACACGACAGTGTGTTAATTAGTACATAGTAATTTGTATGTTTCATTTGAGGTCTGCCATAGACCCGTAATTGGCGAGTGATTTTTTAATCCTGAGAGCTGTGAGTCTTGCTGCTGCATTGTGATACCAGCATTCCTTCATCACTTTAGACATAACTTGAAGTGCCTGAAAGTAATTACACCTCAATTAATTATTATTATTTTTATAAATGATGATATGTAAACGCGTAACCAAATAATCGAGTACTGACCTCGATAGACTGCCACCTATTCGGTATCGATGGCCTCTGCCGATCCGTACAAACAACTTTTCGCATTTCCTCAATAGTAGGATCAGAAGGTACAAGATCGTAAAAAGGAAGCTGATAATCATCGTGAATACCACCGACATTACACCGCCTGGCTATTTCCCATAGAATCAAACCGAGTGCATAAACATCCGCCCTTTTGAACGAATCGAAGTGATTCATGTTTATCGTTTCCTCCAAAACCTGAAAATCGTGTAACTTAAGATCAATTCGGAAAGAAAAAAATCTAAAACAGAAAAAAAAAACAACAATGATTACCTCAGGTGCCATGTAACGTTTAGTACCAACTCTGTTATTCAATTGTATATCAACAGTGTCAGTAATAACGTCATGTCGCACAGCAAGACCTAAATCACCAATGGCACAAGTGCCATTAGTTTTAACGAGAATATTTTTAGATTTGAGATCCCTGTGGGCGATCGCTGGTTTACCCTGAGTACCAACAATTTCCATGTGAAGATGAGCAAGACCAGTTGCCATAGACAGAGCCATTCTCATCATTCCATTGACATCGACTGTTGTACGATTCAAATAATCAAACAACGATCCTTTCTCATGGTAATCAGTGATGAGCCACAGCTGCGTCCACGTACCATTGTCTGTATCAAATGTACAAATTATTCGCATAATTTAAGTTTCATGGATGGAAATGTTATGGGATTAAATATCCAGCTGAATGCGCACCTTTATTATCAGCAGCAATGAATCCAAGGATATTATCATGCCTGAGCATGACAGTCTGATATATTTCCGCCTCCCTGAACCAAGATCTTTCCTCCCTCGAGCTGAAGATTTTAACAGCAACATTTTCTCCACGCCATCGTCCACGCCAGACTTCACCGAATCGTCCCTTACCAATTGTCTCAACAAGTTGAATCTGACGTGCTATACTTCGCTGCACCAGCAGTGGAAGCCCAACTAAATACAAAAAAAGCATTACAATAATGCAATTAGAATTGTCAATCAATTAATTTCCATTCATTCCATTCAATTGCTATAATCACCTGATCCACTACCACTTGTTGTCATCTCCAGCATGTCCCTGATGGTGACACCACCCAGGATGGGACGATCTGGTGCTTCCATCGAGTCATCAGGAAAATGTCTGGCTGGTCTCCGACGGCTCATGTGCACGTGGTACACTGCCATCACGATTATACATACAGCGCAAATTGGCAGAGCTATTGACAGTGCCATTCTCCATGTTACCCATGTCGTCACACCTCCAGCTGCTGTTACTTTTCATAGATAATGACAATTAACTCGTTGAGTAATTAATAATACACTTGGAAAATACTTAAAAATAATACAAGCTTACCCAAGTAATTCTATTTCATATGAATCAATGAACGTGGAATTATTTTATTAATCACGATTTTATGAATGAAAATAGTAACAATATGATTTACATTCTCGATTAATGAAATTGTTTCCTTGAAATCGTTGATTCAAATGAAATGTACCTACGGCACATGTTTATGATTCCCGTTTTAAATTGGAAGAATAAAAAGCTGACAAGTACATGCTCAAAGCAGTTGACAGAATGAAAACGAAAGACACAGTGCAAAGCAGGAGAAAGTCAAGTGCAAGACAAAATTTCAGGTAATTGTTTCAATGACTCGTCAATGTCTTCAATATTCGTCCCAGTAAGGAGTCTCGTTGCATCTTACCTTCTCTCGTCCATCGTAAATAAATAAAAACCTGAATTCTCCACTTTTGCGATAAGACCAACAGCAACGATATTGTTAATTGGTTGAAATCCAGTGGGACTTAAACACCACTGCTGAAGTCCCTGCAGAACGTGACTGGTTTTTGGATTCGAGGGGTTGGAAATGGTTAGTCGCATAATTGGTATGCAAATTCGATAACGCGTTGGCAATGTGGGACTTTGGCCAACGGCGAATAAGATTAATTGACTTGGAAGTGTTCTCTCGCATTTGCAGGACACAAATCGAATTAATTGCATGCATTTATATATATTTTTCCTGTTCCTCAGTGCTAACTCGATGAATATCAAACAATTTCCCAACGATTCGACAAACATACAGATGAACTTCAGTGGACACTGAAAGGACATGAATTCGAACGATTAGTTTGATTTAATGAGACGTGAAGACCCATTGAGTCAAAATTATATTTTAATTCTCCATTGATGAAAGAATGACTCATCATCATGCGAATAAAAATTATTTTTGAACACCGGAGGAATCATGAGCTGGTGATGGACGTCCACCACGAAGTTGACCAAACCAATGATTTATTCAAGTGATATTTCAAAATAGCAACAATTATTCTGCTAGACGGGCAATGAACCGCTAATTGATAATTTTCTCAATAATTTTTTATCCCCTGATTTGATGCAGCGACACTGTGATAATTTCAAGATTGAGCTCGTTCACTTTAGATAGAATTGAGTAATTTCCGGTGCGTACATACCGCTACGGGCACGAGCTAAGTATCAACTCGTAAAAACGAATTAATGGTGCGAATAGCCATTCTTCCCATTGGTGACATAGCATTTGAACTCATCCTCATTATCAAAACCAATACATGCAACTCGCGTTGTTCATCTCAATTTCGCGACAAATTAGGAGATAATAATCACCAGATAAATGCTGTCGGCTTGAATTTTAGTTTGGCAATCCCTGTGACAATAAAATTGATACAACGAATGAATAGTCGCTTATTCCCTCACAAATGAGAATTGAAAAAAAAAAAAGACAAAGCCAAGACGAGTGACCAAAGCCGTATCATCGATGGATTTGATTCGAGTGATGACTTTGATGATTATGCGAGTGTTTTTGTAAATTTTTTGTTCCTCTGAGGCGATGATTTTGTACCTCTTTCGAATCTGCCCAGACCGCGAGGAGAATCGTCAGTTATTTGAGTTGAAAATGAAAGCTCGATATAACGGTTGCAGTAATCGGTGTCATCGCAGCAGGCAACGATAAATTTTATTCCACCAGGACTACGAAGTGTCCCATTTGAATCACACCAAACGGCGTATCCAGATATTGGGAAGAACTGGGGCTTATTGTAACACCTGAGAACATTATCACATCTCTTCATCATTTTACACGACTATTTGTCATTTCAGGGGGATCAGGTTATCGATTAACATCTACTACTGAAAATAAATAAAAATTAGTGCCACTGAAGCGTAAGTCCTGTAGAATACATTACAGTGATTTTTTTTAAATCATGCCAAGATCATTTGTTTGAAACTACAGACTGTTTATTTTTAACTCCACCGCTAAGGCCTTCAAAAATGTTTCAACGTGTTAGATATGTAATCGATTACAATTACTTTACGAGAAGAATTTATTTTTGTCGCTTTATCCCATTTTCTGATAATTCCTTTTTACCGAGTAATTTCAAATATTTTTTTACAATTGCAAGCAGTAGAGAGAAAATACCCAACCAATGGCATTGTAAGTTGAAAAAATATATATTAATTTATGCACACGTCACTGGGACTGACGTTGGTTGTTTTAAAAAATTTTTACTTTGGCATTTCCCCTCGGACTTCTACTGGAGGTTTACGACAAGAAATATGTAAATCGATAAATACGATAATCGAGGGAGTATGAAAAAAAAAGATGAGCCAATAATTGACGCTGGAGGTGTGCTATGTACAGATGCGCCAGAAGTTTAAAAAAAAACTTGAGATTTTTCAGTGGCTATTGAGAATGGTGGATTGTATATATTTACTTGAGAGATGTGCTTGAGTGGAAATAAAAATGTGCAAGAAAGTCAGAGAGAAGTGAGAGAAATTAAATAAGAATAAAAATAGAGAGCAAACAATATGTGAACCAGTGCTACCGAAAATCATTGATCGAATAATTAATTAGCAGATTGCTGTTGGTAGATTTTTGAATGTATATTTTTTTTTTCGTTTAGAGCTTTTGATTTTCTAAACATCCGAGGGCTTTGTGGACTGTACCTTCTGTGGTTCTTGGATGGAGCTGGGGTCTTAGATCACGATTACAAAAATCCTCTTTGTGGCAGCAATCGATGACAAATGATGTGTTTATCAAATTGCTCGTCATGCAGAAGATGAGTGGTTCTGGCTGCGACGACGACAGCTGTTTGTGCACGCACCTTCAAGCCCATATTTTACCATTTGTTTTTCCTCTTATAATTGTTTTCTAATAATAATTTAACAAGTACTCTCTTTTTGAATAAAAAATTGTCTGCATTTTTGCAATGAGACGTTCCGGCGAATCATTAGATTTTTTCAATTCGAATTGGCCTTTCTCTCTCTTCAATAATTTAATTATGCCGAACTGTCATGACCAGAGAAAAATTAAGGTGAGGAGAAAATCGTATTGTTAGGAGGAAAATGCCATTGTTAAATGCAAAAAAAAAGTCACAAAACTATTCATGAAGTTTCAATAAAAAAATCACAAGAGTAAAATCAAAAAAAAAATCAAAACTTTTCTTATCGAAATGATAAAGTTCATCAAATGAGTGCTGTTAATTCGTACCAATGACAATTGGCAAATAATCGGTTTATTATTCAACTGACGAGGTGATTAATGATTGTTAGTCAATTGATTCTGTATTTGTGAAAAATGGACAAAAAAAACTAGTTATTGATCGGTGATTGAGAAAAAATTAAAAAATCACACAAAAAAAATGAGATAACCCGGCAAAGAAAAAACCCGTTTGTACCTTTGGGTAATTCGGTTGTATTGGGAGACAGTAAAACCGGATATAATTCGAAGTTGCAGTAGTCTATTGTGCAGCAGAACCCGGATTGATTGAAGTCCTGTTTACAGGCTAGTGGATCTCCCGGTGGGAACCACTTTGATCGGTCGAGACACCTTAATATACATTTTGTTATAATAGTATCATTGAAGTTTAATCAGAGTGACATTTTTCAGAGGCTCACGAACAATTGTCATCGATCTCAAAATTTTATATAAATATCATCTCTACCCGAGTGGATGAGCCGAATAATTCAAACATATTCAGTCTGGCCGAATTAATGATTCAAGAATTTACGATGAGATTGAACTAACTCTCGTCCCGACGCCGAATGCCAATCCAATTCCCCATTGTCGATGATAAATTTATTGAAAGCCCGAAAATCCACTAGTCCAGAATTAAATTTCATGACGGTCTCGGACCCAATGCCTCTAAATTATTCAATCACCCGTAATAACACCACCAATATAAAGGAGAAAATTTTGTCGTGGAAATGTTATCGGAAATATTTCTACTGAAATTTCGACGAAATTATCAAATCGTGCATCCAATTGTTGGCCAAAAATTTCACCAATGAAACGACTATCGCAGTTGATATGCCCCGGAATTTTTCTCCAGCAATTTTAATGCCTTAATCGATAGCCCGGTATTTCATACCAACAACCAGCCTCATATTTTTCCCCTCTTTCCCCTTTTATCCCGTTCTATTTGGTGAAAACCGGTCGATCCCACTCGCTTCCTGGCAATTACACGCACTTTCTATATTTTTTTATTTTTCAGTCCCATCCTCCCTCCGCTCATTTGACAGGGCATTTCAATTATGGCCTAGGCCCATACCCCGGATAATCCCCGATTGAATTATTTCAACGAGACCAACAAATTGTTTTACTCCTGATATCCATTACAATTAATTTCTCTTGAGCATTCGTTTATCCGGCAGTCGAGAAATAAAAAACTCGTGATGCTCAAATACAATTGAGCTCGTGATTATGGGAATTATCGGATGCATTACCTGTATGCATGAGTGATCTCTCCACGATCTAGGGTTGTGCTGGCGAAACAGTAGCCATCAGTTTCGCATGTGTGATTCGTATCCGCACAAATATCACAGTAGCATTTTAGTCCTGAAATCATAAATTTATTCAATTACCAAATCATCCGAAAAACTGATAAAATATTTCTTAAAAATCACTCATTACCACTTGAATTACAATAATAATTACAATTCAATTAAAAAGTGAATTGAAACTGAAAGAGGCGTGTTAGACTCTTCAAATATTTTCAGTCAATATCATACATAACAGCTGATTTACATGCGCGACAAGAAATGCGTTCAATCGTAGCAAAAACGCGTGACAACAAAAAAGAATTTTAAAACACGACCTGAGTGCAATAATAAATTTTGCGTCTGAGTTCATTTGCGTGAAGCACAAGGAAAATCACCCGATGATGATCCAGCACATTTATCATATTCAACGGTATACGGTGATTAAGTAAAAAAAAAACAAAATGTATCTGCTCTCTTATCACTGTAGATAGGTGTAACAGCCCCCCATTCGTGCCACAACAATTTGAATTCACAAATCCGTGCACAATGCATCTACGAGATTATTCCATTATTTCGAGTGAATTGTTACGCAATTTACGATGATAACCTTCACGTAGTGCAATCCCCTATCAATGAATTCTCAGCGATTACAAATGTATAAAAAGATTTAAGCAATTCAGTATTTTTTTCTTGTTTTTTTAACACCTGGGATAAATTAATATCTCTGGATTTATCCCAAGAGGAATTTATTCAGAGGAATAATTTTAAAAAATAACAAGAAACGCATTAATTATGTAAACATCGGAGCTGAGGGCTGTTGTGATTGAGTTGAGAGATAAATTTTGTTGTCCATCATCTACACTCTTGGGGAATTGAAGCGTGAAGACATGTGATAAATACATCGTATTGATCGACTTGGGATAAATGATTTTCCTTATCTCTCGTATTGTATCTGTATTTTTCCGCGGTGAAGATTACAAAAACACGTGGCTGTGAACATTTGAATTTGGAACTAACGCGAAATTGTGGTTCCCACCGATAAATAAATATATTGCAGCAAATAAATATTCCAGACCTGCCAGGAATTTATTTGCAATAAAAAAAAATGACTGAGGGGGAAGTTGAAGAATTCTCTGTGGAAAATTCCTCGACGAAGAAGGGCATGAAGTATGTGGATTCGAGTTAGAAATATTTCTGGATGTCCAATGAACCCTCAACCTTACAATTCCTTGCGTGCAGCCTGTCTTGAGAATTTATTGGTATCCTGGGACTTTTTATGTTTATCACAAATTTCTGGTAAATTGGAATTTACTAATTGAATCCTTTGATTGTCCCAAAGTTTTAGGAATTTTCAGAAAAGTTTGACAAGATCGTAAAGATGAATAATATAAAATGCTCACCATCAACAATTGGCAATAAACAAATGAAGATTAGCACCACGAGGGCACAAAACCCCATACTCTTGAGATTCCTCATCTTCTAGGTTTCCTCGAAGCCGATTAATTCCATAAATTCCTCCAAAGAGTCGTGAAGACCAAGTTCGTCATCGATATTCACGCAATATCATCATTATTATCAAATATTGTTCCAGTTAGTCACACAAACAATAAGCTCATCATAATGAAATAAAAGTTGGAGCGATTGCGTTCCAACGAAAGAAAAAATACATCCGATGCGCAGAGGCATAAATAATGCGTTTGTAAAATCAATGAGAAAAAAAAAAAGAACCACCACTCGTCACTGACAAATAAATAAAATAATTTCACATTTCGAGGTTTCCTGGCCTCCGGTCGATGACCGACAGCCCATAATTCCCCAAAACAATTCACCCAACCATTCACTCAAAGTCTTCCAGTTTTATCAATCCCCAAGAACACCATGAGACCAGTTAAACTCCACCACTAATTACTCAATGCCAATTATATCACAATAAGCAGATAAACAAAAACATTTTGCCACTGTCAAGTGTTGGGTCCACGGCCATTTTCTATGGTTGATAGGTGCAGCCTAGAGACAAAATAAGAGTCACGGAATTTGATGGATTGACGTCAAATTAATTTGAGCACTCATTGCCCCTGTGATTAATCCTGTATTACTCCTGTCAATGACTTCACGGTTATTTCACTCGTTATTTTAACACTGTCACTGTTTACTCGTTGTTATTGTTTGAGATGATGACCAGCGACCTGGGACTTGATCATCAATGTGAGAGGTTTTACCTGCAGTCCTGCACCTCTGACTGTCGATTATTCGTCAGAACCGCCATGACACACGGTATGAAGTCAGGAAGATATGCCTCAGTGGATCTGAATTGAGGCTGGATTTTCTCTTTCCATTACAAAGTGAAATCCCTCCAAACGGACCTTAAAATTAAACAGATTAAATTGTAACTAATGAGAGACCTTAAATATATAGGTTGAGCTCTCCAATCTTCTCAATTCCCCCCACTCTATCTCTACCTGTTTTACGCTTTTATCGACACTCTCAGCCTCTTGCCCTGCCTTATTGACGGGTAAGACCTCCGATTTAGTTCCACAACCGTCGCCCAGAAAATTCGCTGTGAACCTTTGCCATAAACTCTAATCTCTTTGCTATAATCTCTGGTATGCACATACCATTTATGTTATGCATGTTATGTTATAAAAATGGCAGCAGGCTTCAAGAAGACGAATGCCAAAGTTTTTGCTAAAATTAAGCCGGAATTGACGACGGATAATATCTACTGGAAAAAATTAACGGTATGTGAGAGGTTTGTTTACGATTTCATGGGATGATTAAATGTGTAAAACCTGATGAAGGTGAAAAACATAGGGTTGATTCCACGTGTGAAGACTCTAACCTCAATTCACTCTGAAATGATTTTTATTTCCCGGTTACTTGGGCTGTCAGTATTTTTTTAATGAATTTTAATTACTTTGAACGGGTTGAGCATCAGATAGTTTTAAATAATGTCTAAGAGGAGATGAAATCAAAATTGAGATTCTGAGATAATTGTGATCGGGGTAACTATGAGGATAAAATATCTGAAGTATAAGACAGCTTTCATAATTATTTCTCTTAATAGTTAAGTTATATACATATAGTTAACATACATAATATAGTAATATCATATAATAATTGATTTCCATAATTTCGTATGTACGCAGTTGGCAACATAGAATTCAATCCGCAATAATTTTTAAACTCATCCAGATGCTGAGACTGTGAATCAATGCGGGGAAAAACTATAACGAATAAATTTTAATCTATTTCAGGCTCCAGTTCTGGTGAAAGAATTTGGCCCCATCGATTACATAGATTTTTCTCCGATCGAGCCTCACTACTTCGCTGTCACTTGCTCGGTGAGAGTCCAAGTGTACAACCCAATTACAAAATTAGTAATTAAAAATCTCAGTAAATTCAAAGAAGCGGCTTACGGTGGTGCCTTCAGGGCAGATGGTAAATTACTCTGTGCAGGGGGTGAAGAGTCTGTCGTAAAACTCTTCGATGTCTCCACGAAGAGTCTTCTGCGTGTTTTTGCTGGGCACAAGGCAGCAATTCACAGGACATTTTTCACAGCTGATGGGCATCACATCGCCTCTTTCTCTGATGATAAAACCATTGCTCTCTGGGATATTCCCAGTGAGAAGCAAATTGTCACATTCAGCGAGCATGCGGATTACATCAGGGCTGGGGCTGTCAGTCCTGTGTCTCCAGATATTTTATTGTCTGGAGGGTATGATAAAATAGTGCAGATGTATGATGCCAGAACCAGCAAGAGTGTTTGCAGTGTTAATCATGAGGCTCCTGTTGAGAGCATCGTCTTTTTACCTTCTGGAGGCATTTTTATATCTGCAGGTGAAATATAATTTTTTTAATCTATAATCATTAAGATGCAAGGTTTTTAACTATTTCTCTTTTTTTCAACACTTCAGTGAAGTTTTTTTTCCCTTGAAATACAATTTTCTATCTTATAAAATATTCTTTAGTAAATATGTATATATAAATTAAATATACGTGTATTTAATATATTTTAATTTTTTTTTCTTCAACAGAAAAAAAATATTATTTAATCATCGAAGTGATTTTTCTTATTTTGCTATCAAAGTAATCAATCATTAATCATGAAATGTTTCGATTTAAAAAGTACAAATTGTCATGACTCTGTTTTTTTAAATTCTAGGTGGAACCGAAATGCGAGTTTGGGATGCGCTGGCAGGTGGTAGACTCCTGGCGAAGATCTCTCACCACCACAAAACGATAACCTGCTTGAAAATAGCCTCCAACGGTCACAGGATAGTCTCAGGATCGTTAGACAGGCACGTAAAAATTTACGACGCAGGAAATTACAAAGCTGTTCACACTCTGGATTATCCCAATGCTGTTTTAAGCGTTGGTATCAGTGCTGATGATGAGACAATTGTTGCTGGAATGGTGGACGGTCTGATCTCAGTACGAAGACGAGAAGACGACACGAAGAATGGTATTAATGGCAAAAAGAAGAAAATGTCGTTTAGGAGAGCTGGACAGAATCTTCGTTCGTCTACGGTTGATGTAATCGTTCCTGATGAGCGTAAGGAGACTATGAGCAAACACGACGCCTGTCTCAGAAAATTCCAGTACTCCAAAGCTCTGGACTGTGTCATGGTTAATTATATCGTTAATAAAACCCCACATGTTACTGTGGCACTCCTTCAGGAGCTCATTAGACGTCAGGGACTGAGACAGGCACTTGCTGGTAGGGATGGCAAGTCTCTCGTTAATTTCCTCAAGTTTTTAATAAAACATGTCGGCAATCCAAGGTTTGGCAGAGTTATGCTGTACGTTGGAAATGTCTTAATGGGTAAGCTTCAATAATTACTGAGAATTCATTAATTTTTATAAAAGAAATCTATTTTTTGTGACGGCTATTATCAATTTGTAAAATACTATCAAAATATTGTTATTGTAGATTTAGTGAAGTTCCTTATTTCCTAAAATGACTTGAAATTTTCGAAAGATATATTTGATAAATTTTATGAAACTCTCTTGTATACGATTTAAAATGTTTCATGAATTTTATGATCACCAATTAATCAATGCTCGTACATGATTTATCAGACGTTTACGAGGAGACTCTAGACGAATTGGGACCAGAGCCGCGTTTGATGTTCACCCTCTTAGAGAAAAAATTGAAGGAAGAGGAGGAGCTGATCACTAACCTGGCAGAACTGCAAGGCACCCTTCACATGATCCTCTCAGGAGCTGAAACCTCTGAACCAATGGTTATCAGAGAGCCTCAGGGCTTGACAGCCTCTACCGCAGCACAGAAGAACCTCGTGCTCAGTATATCATGATATAAACCTCCATAATTTTTGTACATAGGCTCCAAATGAAGACCCTTGTTTTTTATAACATTATAATTACGTTGAATGCATTTTCTTTCATTGATTTTTTAAACTGCTGATGGTCTAGCCGTTTAAAATCCCAATCAATCATTGTTATACACCAATCGGATCGAGGCGATGTAAAATAACCATTAAAATTTGTTATTTAAAAACTAAATTTTATTACAAAAGCTTATTACAAAATAAGGGGAGTGATTAATCAACTTTCAATGCAATAGTAATGGGAGAATATAAAGGAGTGCCTTAAAAAAATTAATTTTTCACAATTCTCATCTTTCAAAATAACTATTTTAACAAGCACAAATTAATGCATCGATCGTTCATCCCATGTGATTAACAGAAAAAGTAGTTTTTGGTTAATGTAAAGAGTAAAATAGATTATAGTCATAATTTTTTACCCCTATAAATTATTGACGAGGTTTCTAATTTTCTTACGACTTAAATTTCATGGCGGTTTTCTCCTTCAGACATTTTTGCCAAATTCCAGAGCTCGGGGATTCTGGCATGACCCATTCCAGAGGTATTCTCGTCCCATCCCTATGGACAAACCTATCCCAAGCGATTCTCGTAACCACCAAATGCCTCAAATCCCTCTGACTTCTGGGATCTCCCAATTTCCGTCCAAAAATCGCAAATTCCCAATCATCAAATGCAGTTCGTTTCCTCTTGTTAATTACCCTCTCATTATCACTCGTCATCATCAGCTTAAGCCCGTGTTCCTCAATGAGGTACTCTCGATCCAACTGACGCCACTGCTCGATCAATCCTTCGATGATTCTTTTGAATGACTCATCAGCTGCATTCGACAAATTCTCACCTCTGGCTTTGGCGTTGACAGCTTTAACTTTTCGTAAGTTCTGCAGCTCCCTCAGGATTTGTAAGTACCTCCTAGCATCTTTCGTCTTACCCCTGACTTCCGCCAAAACTAAATCGGCATCTTTTCTCAAGTTTTCCTCTTGCTTCTCTCTCTCAATGACATCTTGCTTACTTCTTATCCAATTATCGATTTGCTTATGAAGATTATTTCGTCTCTCGTCTCGTAAACTCTTCTCCAGCTTCCAGGCTTCCTTTCGCTTCTTATCCCTCATTCTCTTCTTTTTCCTCTTCTCAACCATCTTCTTGAACTCAGAAATGTCTTCATTTTCTTTTAATTTCATCGTCACACTCTCGATTTGAGATTTTAAATCTTGACATTTCTGGACCTCTAAATTCCAGTCGAAATCAGGAAATTTTTTGTTTACTCTCAAGAGATTTGTTGAGTTCTCAAGTGAAATTGTTAAGGATTTTACGGAAGAGATGAGTCGACGAGTTTCTGAGATGCCTAGTCGCTTTTTTTTAGGATTTTTGGGGGATTTTTTGGGCGAAGTGCAGGAGTTTATGAAATTTTCAAAAAATTCGGTGTCGATTCTACGTTGATTTAGGCATGAGTTCAAGGAGGTGATGAAGCTGCAGGGGGGTGGGTGGTGAGTAGGAAATGGGAGCGATGAGGCACCGAAGGGAAGTGGAGGCGGTGCAAATTGGGTGGGGTACATCGTGATGAAGATGATGTATTTTACAAGGGAAGTTTTTGCTTTTTGAGTTTTAGGAGATTGAAAAATGGCACTGTGGGGCTGAGATTAGTGGGATTTTAAAGGGGGTATTAAGAAGCCGAAAGGAGATTGGAATCCTTCGGGAGTTGCTGTTCAGCTTCTTCGAGGACTTTTTCGGCGTCGAGGTAGGGCTCCGATTCCTTGAGGTCTTGCTCTGATTCGAGAATTTTTTTCAGGTCTTCGTGGGCTTTTATCAGGCGACGTTGACAGTCTGGGATCATCATCAGGGATTCCTGGAGCACTTCCTCTTGTTTCCTGATATCATGACCGTCCTTGCCTTGAGAAATTAGAATAAATTGTTTGAAAATGTGATTTCAGTTACTTTTCCGATTTGTAGAGGTTGTGGAAAATGTGGAATTAGTGGAATCAAAAGAATATCCAGAGGATGAATCAAAAATTAATATTTGATTTTCCCCAGCTTTAAAAGAATTAAACCACTGTGTTGATGACAAATTAATTGGGATTGACTAATTACGATAATTTTTTAAGGATGAGATTATTACCTTGATCCTTATACTTTTGTATTCTCTCCTTCTGTTGAACGGCTTCTTTCTCGTACGTAACCTTTTCTTTAGCCAAACGTTTAACAACACCGGTTTTTATTTTCAGGGTACGCAGACGAGGATCAGACATTTTTCACAGTCTCAGAAATACTTGCTCTCTGATCTTTATCAATTCACTGTACGCTATCGATGACGACAATGATGTAAGTATCAGGGTAATACCATATATAGACAATGTGAGTAATCAAACTTCAATGAAATAATCGTCAACCCACAATTTTGGAATGGAACTGTGAGGTTAGGGTTTGTTACCCATCTCAAAGCGGCTCTGTGACCTTGAAGTGCTATTAAGGTATGATACAAGCAGGTATTATCAAGCCAAAAACAGGGGACAAGTTCTCTCAGGCGGCACGAGACAGCGCGGCGGTCACTATCACCTTCCCCTCATCTCCATGTCATCCCCACTCTGCAGCTGTTCGGCACTGGTGGGACTATTTAAAAAATGATAATTTAAAATAGGAGGAAAAAATGTAAAATATGGCCTTGGTTTATGGGATATGTGGTATCTACATGGCCTCAAAGTTTCAAAAATAGAATAAACTATAGAAGCATTATCCAGTCTCCAAAAATCAGGCAATAACAATAAATAAATTGATTCCTCTTATTTTTTATTAAAAAATAACAGCGACTTACAG